CAACAACCCCCCCCCCCCCCCCCCCAAAAAAAAAAAAAAAAAAAAGAACTCTTTTCTGTGATGAGCTTCCCCAACTTTCATTTGTTATTTTTTATAATTTACCAGATTGGACAGAAAGGACTTCCCTTATGATCTGATTTGGGAGAATGATCAAATGCTAGCTGGCAAAGTATGTCGTTAGTTCTATTGTAGCTAATTCTGGATTAAATCTCTGCCCCCAGTTTATCTGTTGTTTTTGAGATATAATCTGTCTGTTTCAGTCTTTTTATCTGCCTGGCTCTGTTGATGTAAATGACAAACAAATGGAGGATTGGAATTTGAATGCACCACCACTATACCTTTGGAGTCGCCCAGATTGGACACCTAAACACAAGGATATTGCTCAGCAACAGGGGCACTTGTCCGAGGATCAACAGAAGTCATCCTTGCAAGAACATTGGCTAGGGAATGTCTCTGATGCTCCAGGGGAACGTAATAATCTTGATGAATATCCTGTGCACCAGGGTGATGATAGGAATCTGGGTAATAGACAAGAACACTGGGAACAAGAAGCACGGGTAACTATGAGTCACAAGGAAGAATTGCCACATGAAAGCTCTATCACTGAAGGGGATAGGAATCATGGGCGCCATAAGAGTCAATCAGAAGTGAATTCAGAGGAGTCTCGTGGCAAAAGGAATAGCAATAGGAAAAGAAGACCGGCCACGTCTCTGGAGGACAAATTCACTGGTAAACATTCTGTCTCCTGCCAACCTTACCGTTATGTGGATGGTGGCAGACTTTTGGATGACCGTACTCCTAAATCACGTGAAAGACTCTCTCACTTGGATGTTGAGATGGAAGATTACCCGCATCCTGAAAGTAGTAGCTTCTCTGCATCACGCTCTTACTCACAAACAAAACATGGTGGAAATCTGGATGATGATTTGGTGAGGAAGTACCGCTTGAAAAGTGAGGAGCCTTATCCAAGTTTGACGAGCAGGAGGTCCCACACTCCTAATCCTGAAAACAGGTCAGATATCCATGGTTATAGATCTTATGGGATGGAGGAGAAATATGAGAGGGATGTAAATATCCAGTCAAATGTAAATATACCCAGAAGACGGGATGTTCCACATCATTGGACTCAAAATTATACATCCAACCTGGATCCTGGGTATCGTCCTTCATATGGACTAGTTCCATCAAGTAACCCCACTTATGGTGGTGTGAATACATCTGCAATGCAACGACATGCTCCTCGTCTAGATGAGCTAAACCATACAAGAATGAATCATGTGGGGTCAAGACTGCCTTTGCCAGATACGAGTGGCGTATTCCATCCCCCAGTTCCAAGACATGGATTTCAAGCTGGTTCATTTGGCTTTGCTCCTGGACCACATCGTCCGTTTCCTAAGCAGAATTCTTCAGGTTGGCTTAATGAGTAGGTATTCCCGCTGTCCCAGTAGTGCTACAGATGTTTTTGTTCACCATTTATGGTCTTCTCAGCTGTCAACTCAATTCTAACTATCTAGGGTTCCTTTGGTTATAATTAACGTTGACCTAAACAATGACAACTGTTACTGAAACGCTGAAATTAGTTTCTTCATATAATCTTCTCTGTTCATATCAATATTTATCGAAATATCGAATCAGACTTGTTCATGCTGCACTTGGCCCCTTTTATGTTTCTCTCCTTTCTGATCATTAAGCCATGGATGTCATGAGAATTGACTTGCCAGTGTCAATGGATTCTCTGATGGTTTCATGTAAATAGAACAAACCCCCATACCGGTTCCCTCAATGTTTTCGGAAGTTATCAGGGAAAATACCACCTTCATTTTGCAAATAGTCATTCAAAATGGTATCTCTAGATTATCTGTTGTGATAAAGCAGGTTTGATATGATATATGGGCAATGAATTTTTCTGCAACTGTTAAGACTTTAGGACGCTTGCTTATCCATTACTGACCATTCTCTATCGTGTCTATGAGATGCACAAATATCGTCTTGTATTCTCAACAGCCTGCACGAATACCAGCTAACGAATCGAAGCCTGCCTGGTTGTAATGCTTTTTTGCACTAACTGGAACGTAGACTTTATTATTCGTTCGAATTATGTCTACCAGTTGAAAGATCATGTTACAGTTGCTCTTAGAAGTTAGAACTGTGGCAATATACATAATATATGTGCATGTCTACTTTTTTTAGAGTAATTTGCACTTTTCATCCTCAACCTATAATATAATTAATCCCCAGCATTTTAATTATGTAGCAAAACTTGTTATTTCCTGATGCCATCTTAGAAAAATTAATTCAGGAAAAAAATTAAGTGCTTGTTTGATAGAGATTTTCGTAATTGATTTTTTTTTTACCGTTAGAGATAAAGTGAATTTTACCTGTGATAGAAGAATTTAAAAATGACGGTTGCAATAGTGAAATAACAGTCAAAAAATTGATTTTGATTGATTTAAAATCTGTATCAAATAAACACTAAATAAATAATAACGATTGCATAAACTCAGCAATCTAGACTAAACCACCAATGATAGTTATTGCAGTAGGCGTTTGATCATGGGATTCATGGGTAAGGGTGAAATTGGATGTGTGGAGTGATGTATTGACTAAGTGGGTGAGTTTGGTTGGAGAAGATGAAAATGTTCTAGATTCTTTTTCTGTGTGTGTTAAGGCGAGTTTAATTGTTTTAAATAAGATATATTTTTACTTTTGAAAAATTATGATTGAAGTCTATAATTTTTTCTTATTTTTGGCTCTATTACTGCTTTTTTATGTTTATTTTATTTAAAGAGAAGTGTTAATCCATCATTAATGCCAAAATGGACAGAAGGGCGATTTTTGCTGCAGGTTAAGATAAATCATGCTAATAGAAAAGATGAGTTATGTTTGTTACACTTAATAAAGATTGAGGATGCAAAGTGAAAATTTCCCTTTTTAAATCAAATTCATACCACCAGTTGTGTAGCTAAAATTAAAATACTAGGAAAGTTTCCTTCCTGTTCAACATGGAAGTCGAGATCCAGACGTTCATCAAGGTATGGTTTACTGCAGTTGCAGCTCTAATGTACTGTTACTACATCGCCACCCGCCTCCCCGGCGGCGCCACCAGGTTACTCTCTCTCCTTCCCGTCTTTTATCTCTTCACCGTCCTCCCTCTCCATCTTTCCTCCCTCCACCTCGGCGCCCTTACCATCTTCTACCTTGTTTGGCTTGGCAACTTCAAGCTCCTCCTCTTCTCCTTCGAGCAAGGCCCTCTATCCTCCACCCCACCTTTGTCCCTCCTCCATTTCATCTCCATAGCTCTTCTCCCCATTAAAACCAAACAATCAGTTTCCAATTCCAAAGTCAATAAACCAGTTGTTTTTGCTCTTAAGGTTGCCCTTTTGGCTATAATTGTTCGTATATACGCGTATAGGGAGTATATACATCCGTATATAATCCTGGCTTTGTATTGTTGCCATGTTTATCTTGGAGTTGAGCTGGTTTTAGCCATTACGGCAGTTCCGGTGAGGGCCATTCTTGGATTGGATCTGGAGCCACAGTTCAACGAGCCATATTTGGCCACATCACTGCAAGACTTTTGGGGCCGTAGATGGAATCTTATGGTGACCAGTATTCTACGCCCCACNTAAATAATTTTTTAATTACAAATAAAAATAGTTTTTTATTCATTTTAATATTGCATATAGAGCTTGCGAATTAAAAATATCCACGATTATTTGTGATAATGTAAATTGGATATTTGTAATGAGAAGTACAATGTGACAACCAAAATATATTTGTTCACAATCAATATATAATGGTTCATATCTTGTATTGAAAGATTATAGTATTGAATAATTTATTATTCAGGTTTACGATTTGTTCTTATCGCAGACATAGTTAAATGTGGCATTAATATACTTAGAGCGTATTGAATGAAACATGTGTTCAGTTTAATTCTATAGTATGATCGTGTAAAAAATTAAATTCCAAATGATTGTTGAGTATTCATCCAAATCCTTGATAGGGTTATGTATATTCTTTCGTATATTTAATGGTTATTTGATTTAATAATGAGAGATCAATTTCATTGATCAAATATCTTGATGAGTTTGAGAACATGAGAAAGAACGAAATAGAGAACATGAATTTATGTTGAGAATCATCATCTTAAAAAATGGACAAAGTGATTATTTAAGTGTTTTTGTTGAACAATTAAAATTTGAAATTGGTGCCTAACGATGACTAAATTTCAACATTTATTTAAGTTAGTGAAAATAATTATATGAGCAAAATAACATTCTGCACATACCTAAATATCGGATGTCAGATGGGATGATATATGGTAAGTCATAAAAAGTATTACATATATGTATTTTTTGTTATTTTATATATTTCAAGAGTGTAGTTTGGTCCAGAGTCATCTAGAGACGACTAAACATAATAGAATTTTTGGAGCTTGGATAATATACATTCGAACTGGTTCCTATGGTAGCTCAAAATTTCTTTGAACTCAATTTTATTACATTGCAAGTTAAACTTAATTATAATTGTAATAAAGTTCAAGGGCTACATGTGCAATTACAAATATTGAGGCCTAATTTGGTTTGGACATTGAATTTTCGCATATGTACTAGCATATTGGGGGCTGAATTAATTCGAGGAAAAACGTGAATAACATATTTCTATAGAGAAAAATTAGAAATTTATTTTCTTGATTTTTTCTTGGTCAATCTCCCATAGAATTTGGTTTTTGGTTTAATTACATGAAGGTGCGCACATGGTGTAATCTTCATTGAAAATACTAAAAAAGATTGAAAGTTTGAAACATCAAGTTTTTGAAATCAAAATTTGAAAATTCATGATCTAGAAAGTTAGAAGTTCTAGATTCAATTCTAGTTCAAGAATTAATTGTTGAATTTGAGTAAATTATAAATCCTCATTATAACATACACACGATCATCTAGTAATGATATTGAATTCTTGAATTAAGTTTTTAAAATTGTTTTGGAGTAATTCCCATTCTATATTCTAAGAACTGGCATCACAATAATCTAGATCATTTACATACTTGTTATTTCTGAATCTTAATTGCTTAATTTAGTCGAGTGATTTCTAGAAATAATTGATTTTAAGGATAATTGCAATGTGGATATTCCACACTCTAAAAATGTGTAGATTATTCTCGTACATTTAAATTATAGCAATGAAGATTGTAAACCTTAAAAATTGTGTTACGGAAGGACTTCTACATGGAAATCGTCCAGATGCTTGTTAGTTAATCAAAAGTCAGTGTTTGACCATAGTTGGATTAATTTTAAATTTTAAAATGGTAAAATGGTATATTAAACATTAACTAATTATAAAAAGAAAAATTTGCATCGGAGATCCTAAGCCTTTAAAATATATGTAGTGGGCATCCCAAACTTTTAATAAATATGTGATGAAAAGACCTCTAATTTTTTTCATCGAAAAACGTGTTAGTTGACAAAAATATTAATTTTCCTCTATTCACCCAACTCCAAAGTCGAAACCCTAGTCTACCACCCCCACCATGGTAGACGGGAGAGCCTCCGTCACAGTCACAGTTACTGTTGGCATTTATCTATCTATACTTTTTCTTTCTAGATATTTAAGTGCCCTTGGTAGGAGGAAATTGAGTTGACTGGAATGGTATAAACACGTTTACAAGCGGAGGTAGGGGAAATTTGGAGACGACAATGTGTTGGAGATAATTGGGAGATGGAGAAGAAACAAAAAAGAAAATCAAAAGAAAATATGGCTACAAGATGGATCAAAAACAAAATTTATATAAAAAATGTGAAGGCTCGAACGTGGAATCGCGGTCCTCAAACGTTATTTACGCCTTCTCCGATGTATTCGAGATGTTAAAAGGTATTCCGACAAATGGTTTGAAAGATCATAACAAGCCTTGTAAAGAATTTCATCAAAGTACAAGATGAAATTCTCTAAAACTTGAAGAACACGAGGATATGAATATAAATCGGGATTTGATTTTTCTTGGAACAAAGTATGGATTGTAAGATGTTTTTCTTACTTGTTTCCCTCAAACATGGCTCTCCAATATATAGCCATCGACCAGAAGTACAAAATTGTGCCAAAAAATCAAGGGAAAAGTCACCAAGTTCAAATTTGCAACGGCAAAAAAAGGTTAAAAAATATGTACCATGTGACCGCAGGGTACAAACCCATGCGGTTGCATGGTTCACCCATGCCGAGACCATTTGGTCTCGGCCTAAGGCCATGCGACCGCATGGACCATTTTTTTTAATTATTCATTGTTGTTTTCAACATAATCACAGTAATTCCCCACTTGTTCAAAATTAACAAGTCTCATATTCATGTATACGATATTCATACATAAGGATTATATATTTTTCGATTTGAATCTAACCATAGTGTAATTCAAACAAAGCATAGTCGGACTCAAAGGTGGTGTGTAGTTTTGAACCAGTTATTCCATATGACAATACCAGTAAGAACACACATACGAATACCACGTGTTCTCAAATTCCTCATAACCCGCTTAATGCTTTTATGACCTTGTACCTATCTTTTTCAACAATTTTTTAAGAGAGAAACTCCAATTTCTATTAAGGCGGCACCACCTTAAAGATTGTTTAGGTGAAGTTCTTCCAGTACCTTTGTTACTTTTAGAGGTACTTGTGGTTTAACACTGAACTTCATTAAGAGCTTAAAACTCACCCCTTATTTCAGTAACAACCAGCATTATTTTAATTAGGATAGGATTATTACGGATTTTAATAATGCTGCAACTATCCACATATCGAATGACTTGTTTTTACCCTTTGAACCCGTAAATTACCTTTTGAGTAATGACAGGTAAGGTTGCTATCATTGGTGAACATTTTTAGTTAAGGAGTTTCAACCCCATTCTACTCGAAGTAAATGCTACTAAATCTCTATTTAGATGTTTAGTCAAAGGATCCGCCAAATTCTCAATTGACCTTACATAATTTAAGGAAATTATTTCATCCTTAATTAATTTCTTTATATAGTCATGTCTAAGACTCATGTGTCTAGACTTTTCGTTGTATGCTTTTGCTAATGTGGCTTGATTATCACACATGATAGGTATTGAAATATTCTTTGATCCCAAAGGTATCTCATAAAAAAGATCCTTGAGCCACTCAACTTCTTTCCCGGTATCCGATAGGGCTACAAATTCTGATTCCATAGTCGAGTGTGTTATGCATGTTTGTTTTTTTGATTTCCAAGAAACAACACCTCCTGCAAGAGTGAACACCCAACCCGTAGTGGATTTACTCTCACCCGCGGTAGATTTTTAACTAGCGTCGGTAAATCCTTCTAATACCGCCGGAAATTTTGTATATTGCATGCTCATGTTCTTGGTTTTCTTTAAGTATCCAAGAGCTCTTCCTATGGCCTTTCAATGATTATTATTTGGATTGCTAATAAACCTGCTAAGTTTACTTATGGCATAGCCTATGTCCGATCTTGTGCATTGAACTTCATACATAAGACTTCCGATTGCACTAGCATATTTCAATTGAGCAATCGCCCTTCCATCATTCTTTACAAGTTTTGAACTTGGATCAACCGGGGTACTACATTCTTTTATGTTCAAGTGTTTGAACTTTTTTATCACATTCTCAATATAATGTGATTGACTTAGATGATAACCCCCACTAGTCTTTGTGATTTTGATACCTAAAATGGTATCCACTTGACCAAGATCATTCATCTTGAATGTGGAAGATATAAACTTTTTTGTTTCGTTTATACCGTCCATGTGATTACTTATAATAAACATGTCGTCAAACTACAAGCATATAAATGTTATGTAATCATCACATATTTTAGTTTATAAACATTTATCTACACTAGTATGTTTAAATCCGAATGATATAATATCTAAGTTAAACTTCTCATGCCATTTTTTAGGTGCCTACTTCAAACCATATAATGATTTTACTAACTTGCATACCTTAGGTTCATTTCCAGGTAGAACGAACCTTTCGGGTTGCTCCATATAGACCTCTTCATCGAGATCCCCATTTAAGAATGTCGTCTTGACATCCATTTGATTAACAGGCAAGTCATATATTGAAGTCAATGCAAATAATATCCTAATTGATGTTATTCTAGCTATCGGTGCATAAGTGTCAAAATAGTCGATTCCTTTCTTTTGTCGATATCATTTGGCTACTAATCTAGCCTTGAAAGTATTTAGAGAACCATCAACATTATAATTTCTTCTAAATACCGATTTACATCCAATAGGTTTGGATCCTGGTTGTAAATCGACAAGTTTCCAAGTTTTATTAGACATTATCGAATTCATTTAATCTTTAATTACATCTTTTCGAAAAATACTATCACTAGAAGCCATAGCTTCTTTATAGGTTTTAGGGTCAGTTTCCACTTGTAGAACAAAAGGAATTATTCTAACAACATTCAACTCATTTCCTTCTACTAAATAAAAGGAGATAAGTTGAGAATCAATTTCATCCGATCCCAAAGACTTCTCAACTCGAGTTCTCTTGCTTCTTCATGGTTCACTAGACTCATCAACATCTTTAGAAGACATTTCATCACGCGTTCCACTTGAGCTAGGGATGCTTTCATGATTTTTCCTCAATTCGTT